CTCACACTGAGGCTGGATGAAGCAGTGAGCTGCCAGGAGCTTCAGCGAGTGCACCTCGAAGAGCACGCGGTGGAAGAGGAGGTTGTGGGCAGAGGGCCTGTGGGCGGGGTCCCGCGCCAGGCAGGAGAGGATGAACTCCTGGGGGCAAGGAGAGAAGAGGCCACGGGGCATGGAGTTTCTCTGCTCTGGCCCCACAGTGTGAGGAGAGGAGGCCCTGAGGCCCCCAGACCGCAAGGGTCCACCCCCCTGGAGCCTTCATGATGTGCACAGGGGGAGGCATCCTGCTAGCTGCCAGGACCTGATCCTACAAACAGGACAGCCAGGCCCTGGATCCCTAACTCCCTCAAACTCACAAAAACCTGGTGGGGGTGAGGGTGGGGGGCCGGGAGCACTGTTGCGGGATTCACAGAGGAAGTCTGCAGGAGGGCGGGCAGATCAGCACCCCCCCCCCCCCCAGGTCACATGGCCTTGCATGAACCCACCCACCGCAGCCAGCCCGCCTTCTGGAGATGACCTTGACGGGTCCCTGCCCCCCATCCACGCCTTGCACTGCCTGCCTCTCTTGTCTGTCTTGGCTCCACCTCCCCACCAGCCCCATCCAGGCCCCATGGCTTCCCTCTCCCATCCCCAGAGGCCGTGTGCTCAAGCCAGATTCCCAGACGCCGGCCAGAGAGGCTGTGGGTGAAGCTCCATCCCAGGCTCCATCTGCCCACCCAGCTGCCCACATGAAGGCTTAAGGGCAAGAACGTGGAGCCAGGCAGACCAGGTGCAAACACTGGGTCTACTGCTCACTCTGGAGCCTCTCTGAGCCTCAGTTTCTTTATCTATAAAATGGGCATCACCACAGTACTCACCCACTATGTCTCTGGTTTCCCTGACCTTATGTTGTGCCCTTAAAAAAAAAAAAAAAAAAAAAAAAGGGGCCCGGCCATAGTGGCTCAGTGGTTGAGCCGTGGACCTATGAACCAGGAGGTCACAGTTCAAGGTTCAATTCTTGGTCAGGGCACATGCCCAGGTTGTGGGCTTGATCCCCAGTGGGGGGCATGCAGGAGGCAGCGGTCCATGATTCTCTCTCATTGTTGATGTTTCTATCTCTCTCTCCCTTCCTCTCCAAGATCAATAAAAATATATTTTAAAAAAGAAAAAAAAAGATGTGCCCTTAGAGCCTTCAGGCCTGGAACTCAACACCCACTCAGGTAAGGCCCTCCTGGTGGGTGGGCCCCGGGCAGCCCTGCCCCACGCACCCCCAGGCCTGCCCCAAACCTGGCACCAGTCCCCCTTGGGGGGCGGGAGCACTGCTTACCCGCATGTCAAGATCAATAAAAATATATTTTAAAAAAGAAAAAAAAAGATGTGCCCTTAGAGCCTTCAGGCCTGGAACTCAACACCCACTCAGGTAAGGCCCTCCTGGTGGGTGGGCCCCGGGCAGCCCTGCCCCACGCACCCCCAGGCCTGCCCCAAACCTGGCACCAGTCCCCCTTGGGGGGCGGGAGCACTGCTTACCCGCATGTTGGGGTCGCTCAGCGAGTGCCTGGCCCGGGCGATGGCCTCCTCGGTGACCCGGGTGTCCCCGTTGGCCTGGATCTCCAGCACAGCCATCTGAGGGCAGGGCTGGTCAGGCGGGGCGGGGCGCCAGG